TCTTCCGAAGGCGTTTGGCATGTCCCAGACAGGCTGCCATAAGTGTGCTTATCATTTTACTCTGACAACTTAAAGGAGAAGTCTGGTATTTTGCACTTTGAGCTCCATGTCTGGGTTGTTTATGATGAAATAGAGCTGCTCAGACCAAAGTTGTGACGATTGCTCATTTTCTGTGAATTTGTCTTTCCCCTGCCTGGCTTAACACTGCTGCCTATGGCCATGTGTGAACCTGTCCTCACACCACCCTAAACATTGGTTTTCAAAGCCATGAAACTCACTGAGTGGTCAGTGGTGTTCGTTGATGTTCTGACATACAAATCATAGCAAACTCTGGTTTCCATCCGTGTTTTCACTCTTCATCTCGATTGTGGAACTATTTTTCCAGCTGCCTCACACCCGTCTGTAAACTTCCGTCTGATCGTTCGTTTGACCCTGAAGCGTTATACACTCCAGTGTCGCCAACCGGCAGGAAACCATTGCAATGTAATGGAACACAGAGAAGAATCAGAAGAAGAAGGTTGGCGATGTGTTCAAAGGCATTGTACTGCGAAGGTTGTTCACAAGGGAGTAATCCATTGTGCAGTTGTTTAAACTTGTTACAAAACTTTTTCTTTCGTTCTCTTTCTTCCTCCAGGAGCGCACACAGCACTGTGGAGCCGGCACTTTCGCTGAGCTAAAAGACTACAATGACCACAACCTTGTCGTAAACAACCCCCTTTCTGTTTCTGGTGGCGGATTACTACCAACGGACAATGAGGCTTCACTGAAACCACAGCGTGCTACGATTTTTATGTCAGAACATCAACCAACACCACTGACCACTCGGTGAGTTTCATGGCTTTGAAAACCAACGTTTAGTTTGGTATTTCAGCAGTTTTGTGGATTTCACTGTGAAAACAGAAGAAGTCATTTAACACAGGATGGATGAGCTCAATCACAGAGTGTGATTCAGATCTGTGTGCAGAGGGCCAGCAGCCTCCATCACATTCTTGAGTACAGGAAGATAAAATGACTTTCAGTGGGAGGCTGAAGGAAAAAATAAAATCAGTTATCAGGGTGCCAAACATGCTCCTTTGTGGTGGTGTTAACGGGCAGAGGGCGAGGCGGTTTGGTGAAGTTTACTGGCACATAATAGATGCAAACTTTTCAAAAAACATGAACTGGAAAGGAAATAAGGGAAAGTGAAAAACTCGAAGACAAGGCAGGCTTTGACTTGCCCTGAGCAACCATCACCTCAAAATGTTTTCATCAGTGAAGTTCCACTGCAGGCTACGCCACGGTTTCATCTTAATTATGTTTAAGCTTTCAGGTTCATCAACCTGTTGAAGCGGTTCAAAGCGTCGAGCTCTCTCTGTAGGACACACATGCTGTTAACTTTCTGCAGCACAGGAGAACAAACTGTTTGGCTTATTCTATAAGGTTCCTCCTCTCAGAGCCTTTTTAAAACTTCACTCCACTAAAAGAACAAAGAAAAAACAGGAATTGGATTCAAGTTGGATCATTTGATTTTTATTGCTGATTTTTATGCTTCTATGCTGGTGTGGCTGGATACGTTCTGTCTTTGGGTTGTCTGTCTGTGTGTCCCATTCTTGAGCATAACACCTAAAGAACGCTCTGAGGGAACGTCCTCAAATTTGGCACAAACATCCCACTTGGACTGGATGAGGAACTGATCAGATATTGATGGGTAAAGGTCACTGGGACCTCACGCCTGTCATCCCATGACCATGTTGCCTCAAGAAGGCCTTGAGGGAGTTTCCTCAAATTTGGCACAAAAGTCTAACAGGATCAAATGACACAGTGATGACATGTTATATCCCAAAGGTCAAAGGTCAGCATCACAGTGACATCATCATGTTTTAACGTCATATCTCAGGAACAGAAGGGGAGACATTTGGTCACATACTGAATTGGTGACTCTAATCTTGAAACTGTGCTGACTGTATAGATCTTCTGTGTGTGAAGGGTTAATGTTTTGGAATTTGCAGCTTCTCTGCAGCAACATTCATATTTGAAGCATTGTCAGTTGTCATGGTGACGTATGAGTCTGGATGGAGGGATGTAAACTGTAACTGCAACTTGACTGGTTGGCAGAAGTGTACAACCATAAGGTGGTACAGTAGTTCTTGTCTAAGTTTTATTCACGTCCTCTAAATGTCTGTATTACTGTCATTTTATCATATTGTTCTGTTCTTCACACATGACATCTACTGCACGTCTGTCCGTCCTGGAAGAGAGATCCCTCCTCGGTCGCTCTTCCTGAAGTTCCACCATTTCTTTCTCCTGTCAAAAGGGATATTTTGTGGAGTTTTTCTTTATCCACTGTAAAGGTCCAAGGACAATAAAAAAATAAAAAAAATCAACCTCTCAGTGCTCTGTGGTGGATAAACTATGTAACAGAGACAGATTTTAAATTAACTCAAACTTAGTATGAAATTTCTGCTCTGAAACTCCCTGTTAATAATCAGCCGGCATACACTGACACATATCTGCAATAAAAAAACTTCTTACAGCACGTTTTCCTAAATTCTGCACAAGTTGGTGAAGATGTTTCTCTATTTGCCAGTGTTAAGACAAAACTTTATTCACCCCAAGGGAAACTGCTGATTGTGTTGTGTCTCGGTGTTTTCTTAATTGGCAGTGTGTTGAGCCCTCAGGGCCACCGTATTAATCCGTCTAGCTTGCTTCTTAAAATAAGAGACTTGTACAAACAGGGTGATATATTTATTTAGATGGACTTCTCAAGGACCAAAAGAAAAGAAGATCTCAGTTGGTTTGCAGTGATGTATCTTAATATGCAACATTACAAGGAATGATTCAAACCTTTACATCTCTAAAATGACCAACATCGTTATAAATTGTTGAAGGAAATGGGTATCAACTTAATGCTGAGTATTAGACTTTCAGTCTTTATTGGAACCACTGTCAGTAGGGCAGTCTTTGAAGAATTCATTGCAGGCGATAGTCAGCACACCAACCAGAATGATGAACTCCTTGAAGTCCACCTGACCATCTTGGTCTTCATCCAGGTCAGCCATAATCTTCTCGACCATTATGGGGTTCTTGCTGCACTGAAAGAGAGAAGAATCATGATAAAAATGGAACCAAAGAGAAATTTGTTTCACAAGATCAAATCATGATGGTGACTGCACTTTAAAAATCATAAGAGCTTTTCCCAAAATGCTACAGACTAAGATAGTGATGTTCATGAGAACCCAACTCTGGGCCTCATGTGAGAACCGCTCACACTGACGGATTAGTTTCTTAGTTGCACGTACGCCATGTAGTGTTCATGAAACTTCTCACATTGTTTGGTTTATAGAAACTCATCTTCTTCCAGTCTTCTCTCTACAGTGAGGTTTATTCTGATAACTAAATAAATGTTCTGAGGTTGATGACAACTTTTACTGAGAAGCACCTTACTGCGATGTTACTGGAGGTCTTTGCACACTGAGTCTGAAACTTTTGTCTGTCATTAAAATTTTCGGAACAAGTCAGTCAGATAGGTAACTGTCTTTTCATTTTGTCACATGTTTCAAATGTTCACATCTAATAGAATAAAATGCATCAGAGTCAGCGTTTTGTTTGGATATGGATTAAAAACACGCATCTGAAAAAAGGGATTCAGTTTGCAAAGGCCTTTACAATTGTACTTTGTATTGTAAATAATGTGAGGTTACACAACACTTGTGGTTTCAGTCAACAAGATACTCACTCTCAGGAAATCACTGAGTTCTCCCTTTAACAGGTTCCTCAGCTCCGTTTTGGTCAGCTTGTACTTGTCACCTTCTTTTCCAGAGTAGGAGTGAAACACTTGGATGATAACCTCTATCGCATTTTGCAGGTTGGACTCTTTTGGATCAGACATTTTTCCAGTTCCACAAGTAAAGCCTGGGAGAACATATCAAGAGAGGCACTGTTAAAAACATACTTAATATGGACTAGTTCAAGTCTTCGGGTCCAGTTTGTAGGTGAATTCATGGCGTCTAACAGTGAGGACGGCAGATTGCAACCAGCTGAAACCTCTCCTGGTTGGAATCCCTTCAGGAGGTCACTGTTCAGGAGGTTTTTACCAGGAGCTAAATTATCGACAGAGGTCTCTTCCTCTCCAAAACAGACCAGCTGATTTGAACCAGGGAAAAAAAAAAGACACTGAATAAAGCAGTTTCAG